GATAGACACAGTTCACGAGTTTCCCTAAACCTTTAAAACATCATAAAAGAGAGATTCAGCATGGTTCCAGATGAGTTCGCAAATAAGTGTATTTCGCTGAAATAACAATAAGTAATCATTCAGCTGTAACACACTTCCGGTGCCTAGCTGCCATGCCACCAGAAGGAAGTACGAGGGATACTGCCAGGTCACCCAGGCCTAGACAGGGGAAGTCGAGAGGCGGGGTTCGGGTTCGGACCACGAACCTTTTGTTCAGTAAATTCGCGCTCTAACAACTGAACCACCTCGCTAAGCACGTAATGAGTTTTTTCTTGTTCGGGGATAACCGAACGCTTGACATGCATACCAGTTGTTTGGAACATCTCAAAAGATGTCCAACGGGGGAGAGTTGTTAAGAGATCTTCGACAGACAATACTAAGCCACAAGACTCAAGGAATTTCTATTGTCCAGATATATCGACAATGATTTATCGACTACTGTTGAGAGAGCAATTCAACTTTTGTCACCCTCAGCTTGGGCAAGATGGCTCAAGTGGTTAGAGCACGAATTTACTGACCAGAAGGTCCGTGGTTCGAACTCAACCTCTGCCTTTCGACTTCCCCTGTCTAGACTTTGACAACCTGGCAGTATCCCAGTCCTCGTGCTTCCTCCGAGTAGCACGGCAGCTAGACACCAAAAGGGTGTTACAGTTGAACGCTATTTCTTTTTTTCACCCTCAGCCTATGGCTTAGCCGAGGACAAGGGTGTAATAAAAGTAATCCATGTGAAATTGCTAGACCGTTAGGACGTTGTGTAGTTTTCTACTGGAAACGTGTCAACAACTCAAAACTTCCTCAGTGTTAGTCCAGAACTCTATATCCAACGAACAGAAAATCGTGGATTTTACAAGACCTAATCTTGGAATGACTGCCCAACAGTGAGGAAAACAAAAGACAAACTAGATCAATGACTTCACTGCTGGTAACCGGGCTCAAGCCTATAATTCCGAACAGCTGGTTCTCCACAATCACGCTGCACTAGACCACTAAGCCGGATAAACCATACGAGGGAAGCCGAGAACCAAACAAGTCCGTGTGAAAGAGGACAAGGAGCAGGGACGCAAGTTCGCTAGGTTTAACGACTACGTGCGTGATGCTGTCCAGAGACCAGCACCCCAGTGTCTTGCTACTCCAAGGCTAGAGATGTATGTTCTGACATTAGTAACTGATTATAACATGATCCAAACGAACTGATGGCATGGACACTTGGGGGCTATCAATTATTGAACACAAAGAGTATTGTGCTTCTGTAAGCTAATTACCGCCTAAAGCTAACCAGCGATAGTTAGAATAGCGTTGAGAAAACAAGGGGTATTATACAGGGAACCAGATGCTCACCTGACGATCACTCTGTTTGTCAGACTTATGACCGACAATCATGACAACGGGCGTCAGGCACCGAATCGAAGAGAGAGCCTCCTCAAACCAACTCGGAACGTGTTCGTAAGTCTCCCGATCGGTTAGATCAAATAATACGAATACACCCACACAATTTCGATAATATGACTTCGCGATTGATCTGTTTAAGAAAACAATACCGTAAGTATGAAGGGTAATAAGCTAACCTGAATTTCTCCTGACCGGCGGTGTCCCACAGTTGCAGTTTGACATATTTGTCATTTCGGATACGCACGATGCGTGAATAGAAGTCCACACCAACAGTGGGGTCGCATACATTGCTGAAATTCCCTTCAACGAATGTACGCAAGAACGATGACTTTCCAACCATACTATCACCGATAACAATAAGACGGAACTGGTAATCGAAATAGGGGACCATGGTGAAAAAAGGGTCAAATGTTGGATGAATCGCTTCTACGAATACATCGTTCAGGAAAGATCACTGGTAGTGCAAATACGACTTGGATGAGGTTCAATGAAACGCAGAAAATACGGTATTTTCGAGGCCACCTAGAATGGAAGATCAATAGAGAGGTGAAAGTTATCTCACAAGGTTCTCACACCATCTTGGCCCGCTAAAAAATAATAAAATAAAATAAATCGTTCAGTTTTAGCACCCCTTTGGTGTCTAGCTGCCATGCCACCCGAATGAAGTACGAGGGCTGGGATACTGCCAGGTCACCCAGGCCTAGACAGGGGAAGTCGAGAGGCGGGGTTCGGGTTCGAACCACGGACCTTCCAGTCAGTAAATTCGCGCTCTAACCACTTGGGCCGTCTTGGCCCGCTGAACGACGGTGAAAGATTCGAAGGCTTGCACACCTGCTTGTAGCTTAGTTGTCTGACTATTACAGATTTTGTCAAGACATGTTGACTCAAGATGTTAGTTTCGTCCAGCAAGAATTGAAGAAATGACGGTAGAACAGCCTCACGGTAGAGTGAATGACCTGAGTACTTTCACTGATGTCGCACCAAGATAAGACGAGGGTCATGAGGGATCTGGAAGACAGACGGTCCTTTGACATGCGCAACACGCTATCCAACCAGCGATTGTGAGTGCTGCTTCTTTCGAGCGCCACCTGATCTGATGTCTTTAGCGGACCCAGTCAACGCCTGAAGGCATCGATAACCAAACGGGGATCTGCAATGACCATGTTTCCGATACATAAAGCAGGACAGGTCACACTGCGGTAGCGAGGTATCGACGTTGGACACTGATACTGTGTTGCTGGTGCTGGTCACCCTGCGGTAGTTTACACTAACATCGACAGACAAACTGATGCTGCGTTGGGGGTTGGAGAGCACTACCCTGACCTCCCGATTCGGGAACTAATTGTCTTTCGCCGGTCAATCGGGGCTAATGCACTTGCTCAAATAGCTACCACATCGGTCAGTTTATCATCAAATGTAAGGTTTCGGTTCAATTCAATCTGGTCCTGCAGAAACACTACCCTTCGCAGCCGTGAAGCGAATGCCTAGTTGTTCAGGAGAACCATTTGGGTCTTTTGAATGACTGATGAATCCACAGAGCTTGGTCCAGGAAGAATGATGTCTTCAGGATGAACTTAGAGGTTGCGAATGAATTACTGAGACACCTTTCTCATTCATCGTTTCGCTGACAATTGCTTTCCTCAGGCTAATTGATCGTATTAAATGGTATTCGTCACTAAGACAATAGACCATACCGTGGTGACGGTTTGTGTGTCTCCGTAACCCATTGCGCTATACTGGGGGTACCCTTGCGACACTGTCCCTCATACCACGTTGGTCAACGGTTACAGGTCGAACGAACACAGTCCCCTGGTCATCTAGGTTGGAGGTTGGAATATGCGGCAGCTTGCTCTGTGAAAATGGTAATGCACATGCACTCCCCGCCAAACACCGCTGCCTTCCACTCAGGTTTTTGAGCTAAATGCTTTGGTTCACGACCCTAATCGTCCTCCTCTCTACGTCTGGGCGCATTAGCAGTATCTCAACCCACGTACAACCATTAACTGCACACATACAAATAAACTCAGGCCACGTCAGCCATAGCGTGGTGCAATCAGCCGGGTGGCCTTGCTTGCTGCACAGAGCAGTCTCCCTTGTTCCTCTTTCATATAATTTTTTATTCCCCCTCCGTCCACCTCATTAATAAATCTCTCCCTACATGTCCAGCAGTAAGGGCTAATGACTACGTCCATCCTGCATCGGTTTTGAAAGCAACATCTGCTTGTCAGCCGTCACTGACATACTCGGCAGATCAAAATTCATCTTCAAGACTCGACACCCAGTCTGTTTGGCTGTTTTTAACGTACGCACTCTGAGGCAAGCAGGGCAACGAGCTGTTCTTGCTCTCACACTGGACTCGCTTGATACTGATGTACACTGTGTATCAGGAACGAGAATATAAGATGCAAGCACAGTGGTTAAGCTAGCTTCTCCTTCACTTTACACGCACGTTCGGCTGTGCACCTCCGGTGATCACGAAGTTATGGTGGCAGGATGTGCAGAATGTGGTAGTATCGTCCTCAGTTAACAGGCTGGAGGATCCTTCATTGACTGGATACTAGCTGATAGTCGCCTCCGTACAGTTCATCTGGCACCGTCCGTGGAGTCTAGCAAGGAGGAAGCTGGTTGCCGTCAGTTTGTTGTGTCCGTTTACGCCGCAACCGGTTTTACGTTTGAAAACATCCAAGACACATCTTACGACACCTCTAATGAAATGTTATGGCGAGATTGAGGCTTAGATATCGCATTGCTCGCTGGAAGTATGAATGCACAAGTGGATAGACTTAGCGCATCTAAGACACAAGTAAGTGGTCGACATGGATTGAATTAGGTGCGTCCAGACAAAGGCGGACGATCTCTTCAGTTGGCCGCAGGCTGTTTTTATGCAGCAGTAACTTCCAAAATAACCGGAGTCATCTGGTGTGCCGAAGTCTGAAGTACAACAGCGTGCTGGCTACGAACTCAAATTAATTACACCGCCATCAGTTACCGATGGCACGTATAGATGACCGAATGTCGTTCGTTTTGCGGATTCTGACCAGGTGCTCCTCCACTTCTCCCACTGTTTCCCAAGGCCGCGTAAGGTGCGAACAGATCGCCTGACACCTGAGAGACTAGCAGATCCTGATGTTGGACGAGCTAACCAGAATTGTCTTCTGGAGTCTCTTTGAAGTCCTACACCATCAGAGGTGAATTCATGCTGGAACGAGATCAACACCTCTTTGCAGTGTTGCGAGTTTTGCCTGTGGCATGGCGCTACCACACCCACTCAAGAACTGTACATCAGATAGAACAGTGGCACAGTTAGGGCCTATGAGAAAAGCCCCCACTAGTCTCGAACTCAATTTGGCCCGATGAATCATCAGACGCCAAGTGAAAGTGTGTGCGCCGACCGTGAAGCTTAGTGGACTCGGAAGGCTAAGGAAATGGAAGACGCTCAGAAAGCCTGGAATGCCTGGAGATTATTTCAGCTGGTCCGTGCGAGAAGGCCCTGGAAACCATCTGTGAGAAAAACCACCAAGGACCAGAGTGAAGTGACCATCCTGAATAAGGAACGCTTCAAAGGGTTGCCCGAATACTTCGAACAACAATTATTGTGGCCATCAGCTACCACTCATATGAAGCCTATAGCTGACGCAGAATCCTGCATGGTGAACATTGGACTCTACACTGCCGCAGGACTTTATGACGGTAAATATTCTCCCAAGCGCCAATGAGCTTATGGTTCGGATGACCTTCAATCCGCAATGCTCAAGAATGAGCGCGAAGTACTCAATCACCGCTTGTCCGATCTGCTTGCCTGCATCGGAGAAAAATAGACCGTCCCAGTCAACTAGAGGGGGTCAGTGACAGTGCGTATTTACAAAAAAAAGATGGTAGTGAGTGTGGTAACCACAGGGGAATTAGCTTAACCCCAGTCGTAACGAAACGTCACCTGTGTTTCGTAGCATAATGGTGGCTCGCAAAACACTGCCTCGAGAATATATAAGCGGAGCTCACCTAAAGCTTCCGTCCTACAAAGTACTGTTCCTGAAGTGTGACCATTCTCTCCATTCCTATTTAATTGCGCGATCGATGAGGTAATGAGACTAACGCTGAAAGGTCTTCAAAAAACCCCGTGTTCAAATAGTCTGCGACAAAAGCCTTGTTGATCTGGAAGATAATAATAATAGTAATAATAATAATAATCAAATAACCGTTCAGCTGTAGCACCCTTTCGGTGCCCAGCTGCCATGCCACGGAAGGAGGCACGAGAGCTGGGATACTGTCAGGTCGCCCAAGCCTAGACAGGGGAAGTCGAGAGGCAGAGGTCGGGTTCGCACCACAGAACCGCCGGTCAGTAAATTCGCGCTCTAACCACTTGACCCAACCCACCCCGATCTGGAATACACACACGAGGCTTGGGTCGCGTTTGCTAATTCGAGACACCTGTGGTGTCAAAGCGGTGTGTCCCTGAATCCCAAGGGACTTGTGTATCAGGCTACAGTTTGATCTGTTTTGTTGTATGGCTGTGGGGCTTGGCTTATTCTAGCAGCGGTACTGAGACGTACTTAGGTGTTCGACAATCGTTGTCAGAGAACCATAGCTCGTGTGGGTCGGTGCCGGCGAATACGCCACGAGGCAATTAGGAAGCGATTTTCCAATTACACTACAAGGACTTCCGCTGAAGGGTGTGTCTAACACTAGAAGCTGCGTTAGTTATGCTATATATTGCGTATGCCGAATCATCGTTCGCCGAAGAGAGCGGTGTTTTCAGTACCCAATTCAGATTGAAAACGGATAGGTGGCAAACCCTTGACCTGGCCAAAGGGCGTGAAAGGGATTACGAAACGATCGGGTGCTGTCGGTGCCACTCTCCTACCAAGATGGGGAACACATGATCCCGAAACGATCGCTGTCGGTGCCACTCTCCTACCAAGATGGGGAACACATGATCCCCACTGCGCCTGGTTGGAGACGCCGCTACTCAATGTCAGTGGCGTTTGTGTCGTGAGTTTCTATCAATATTGTCTGAATGAGTGTCTGAAGGTGTAGACACTTCGGAATGATTGTGGTAAGGTAGCCATAATTCTCTTCCCGTCCTCCTCTATTCCTCTCTTCACGATAAGGCATTCAAATAAATCCGCTGTACGGCTGCAAAGCGAACACTGATGTTATGCTGTCCATGGTGATGATGATGACACATCATTCGCGAGGATGATGATATCCACGTTTCATCATCATCATCATCCATATCCATACCCATATCCACGCTTCCTGCTTGACGAATGGCCCCGGGTAAATTTCGATAGAAATTACCAATCTCAGTGTCAAAACTGCATTCCGTTCAAGAAGCAAAAATAAAAAATCACTCAGCTGTAAAGCCCTTTCGATGCCTAGGTGTAGTGCCACCTGAAGGAAGCACGAAGCCAGGTTGCCCGAGCCTAGATAGGGGAAGTCGAGGGGCAGGGGTCGGTCGGGTCGAACCACGGACCTTCCGGTCAGTAAATTCACGTTCTAACCACTGAGCCATCTCAACCGTTGAAGAATATGCCGACACCAAAAATAAGCACCGTTTGTTATGTTGAGTAGTATTGAGCTAGATAGTCGAACGGCGCAAAACATAACTGTTCACTGGGATCCAACCCAGTGAAGTTCAGCTCTGGAGCTGAGTGCAACTCCCACGTTATATATTCCACGAGTCGTCCGCTCTGCATCATCAGACACATGAAGTAAAACTTGAAAGAACTTATATTTCTTTGGCGCTTTACGAAACACGACCTAATCTGAGTCTTGTAAGCATGTTTAGGAAGCAGCATGCGCAGGTATTCAAGAGAATGAAGAGTAAATACGGTATAAATTGGCGGCAAGCCCTACCTGTATGCTAATTCCACATCCAACATGACCGTTGAAAACTTCCATGTAGAAAGGACCTCATGTACTAATCGGCTACTGGTTTTTTGTTACTGGGCAGCGGAGTGAACAAGACTGACAGATAACTGGATCCGGCGAGGTTTGTTTGTAGGACTGAAAAAGATTATAGGGAAATCGGTGGGCGAAGAACTGCTCCGGTAAATGATATTTCTGGGTTTCCCAGGTGGGAAGACGGTTTGGCTGAGATGCTCCATTCTGAGCTTTCGAATCAAAATTCTGATGCACAGGGCTGAAAACTTTGGGCTTTCTTTGGAGACCTTGCGTGGAGCTGACGACCCAAGGGTCTAGCCTTCTCAGCTGCAGCTGACTGACATAGCCTGACAGCGCAGAGAATAAGGCACAGACGACTCACTCATGATGCTGCTGAGCACAGAGGATGCATTTGGGGCTGCATTGGGCTCACATCGATGTCTATTTTTTAACTGTACTGGATAATCCATCGACGGTCAGTCAACTCTCCGACGATCGGAGTTTTCGATCTTTTTGGCCGATCTTTTCTAACCCATCCTTCCTTAAAGGAAGGCAACAGCGCTGCTTCCATAAGTGTGAACACGCTGGTCACTTGGAAGAAATACCTTAGTTCCTTCACCCTTCCATTGCAGAGGACAATACTTGTAGTCCGTTGCTCTTGGTTTGGCTGCTCGTCCTTGGCATTCTTGGCATGGTTGCATCTTGTGGAAAGAAGTTCCAGTGCAGCCGCGAGACTACTGCCAAAAATGAAGCCCGGCCACCACGTTAAAGTGGTAATTTATGTCGGGATTCAAAGAAAATTTAACATCCTGTGAAAACCACCTGGGTATCAACACGATGTTTATAACTTTTGAGGTAATCTCTGGTATTATCTTACGCAGGTAGATTAATCAAGGGAGTCATCATCATCATCATCATCATCATCATCATCAGACAGCAACATCAATGTTGGCACTGATGCTTCACTGCCGTACAATCATCAAGGGAGTCAGATTAGCGAGAATCAAGGTGGGTTTCGCCCTGATCGTGGATGCACGTGGCATATCTTCATTTGGTGACAAGCGCTGAAACTGCGCCACTCCATCCAAGAGATGGCCCAAGTGGTTAGAGCGCGACCCCTCCATCAAGAGATGGCCCAAGTGGTTAGAGCGCGAATTTACTGACCGGAAGGTCCGTGGTTCGAATCCGACCTCCGCCACTCGACTTCCCCTGTCTAGGCTTGGGTGACCTGGCAGTATCCCAGCCCTCGTGCTTCCTTCGGGTGGCATGGCAGCTAGGCACCAAAAGGGGCGGTACAGCTGAACGCTTTCTTTCTTTTCTTTCTTTTCCATCCAACTACCAACAATGGACGATCTGCAACCTGTTCCTGACTCTGTTGACCGTCAGAAACTATGGCAGTGTCTGCTCAGTTAAGTTTTCAGCTCACAAACCGTGCACAAAAGTGTACTTGTTCCAGTTGATACGGCTTCGTTCACCGAGGCTAATTAGAGTAAGGGGATAAGAGCCACCCGTTGGCGGCGATGGCTCAATCTGTGCACTGACGGCAAATGTACCTGTTTATCCAGTATAGCAGAAAGTGAAAGTTACGCAGTGAATATGAACGCTTTGAAACAAGAGCGCCATTGGCTGTGTGACACAACCACCCCTGTCAGGGGCACTAATCATTGGTTTGTCTCGTCCCGCGGTCCCCATCCGTGAAGATGGCAGTTGCCAACAAGAGTGAGTTGACCGGTTAGGGCTTTCGTGATCCGTTGCTAAGTCATGGACTGAACGCTTTGGATCGTCTAATGCGATACGTGGCTGGGTCTAGAGGGATCTACGAGACAAACGGTCTCCTGGCATACAAAAAGCATGGTCTAACCAGCGTCACCTGTGGAGCGTGACCGGCCGATCTATCGAGGGAGAGTGAGCTTCTCCGAAAAAAAGTCTGACGCACCTCAGTACTGACCTGATGCCCCCACCAGACCCAACCAATACTTCAGAGGAAACATGGTTAAAAACAAGGCCTTCAAAGGATTCCTACATGTAGCGGCCACGTCTCCGATCGCTCAAGGATAGAATGAACAACAGAATCGTACACTCCACCTTTGACAGTCAAGCTGAAGTTACTTTGGTGCCAAGGATGCCGGAGGTTAGAAAATGCTGTCACGGCCTTAGGGAAGTGGTTTCATCTTTTCTAGTCCATCGAGACCCATGCAGCTGTCCAGGTAGACGAACTTATCTACCACATTGGTCAGTTCACCTGCAAAAATGGGTTTGAGTCAACTCAATTTTTCAGCACCACTTTACACGTGCAAACTGTGCAGCGAAGTCATTTAAAATAGTTTGCACTTATAGAGGGTCTGATCCAAGAGAACCAATATAGTCGGCACACTTAGAGTCCGTAAGCGAACGTGCCGGGAATATTTTGACGCGCGAGGTGTTGGAGACAGGTGAAGAGAATACAAGTAGTAGATCAATTATAAATTCAAAGAAAAAGTCGACAGAAGGCCTAACGCCATTCGATGCGGTGGACTCAAGAGAGAACATACCGTAGATATACCCACGGCCAATCGAGGCGTACGAAGCCTTCAAAAGACAGAAATTCAGAAGGAACACACTACATCACCAGGCAATGCAACGATTTTCGATGACCAACGGAGTTAAAAGCAGCCTTCGCCTAAAAAAAAGACGATCAGCAGTGGCCGTCATGAGTGGTGAAGTTCCAGAGATCATCATAACGTGAAAACATGGTAGATACAACCCCAGATGGAGCGAAATTGGTTCTTCAGATGGTGGATTAGCCTGTGTAAGGTAATTCCCGAGAACACTTTAGGAGCTATGGCCACTAGGCTGATGGTCCGATGTTCCTGGAATCCTTTTGGATAGGAGAATCATCGTCGAGGTACTCCATCCTCCTGGGATTTTTTCGCATTTTAGATTATCAGAGGCTTCTGACAAGTCTGGGCTTGTCGCGCTGAAGCCATGGAAAACAATCAAAGGCCACGAAACTGCACAATTGTCATGAAAATTCTTTGTGCTCACATTATCGTTTTGTATTAACCATGCTTTCGCCTTCATTTTCAGCTTATGTACGTCTATTCTTGGATAAGTAAAGCGCTATTCATTCTTGTTCTCGCGCTCAATCAGAATCGATATTCTATTCGTAACAATTTACTTGTCTAAGAATACAATGGGACCGTTGCTGCGACCCAAGTGTTTCGACGCATATCTTAATTCTCCATACGCAACAACGCGTTGGAATCATTGGTTCCGAACCTCCCAAAAGTTTCTGGGCACTGTCGAATCGCCCAATCTAAATAAACTCGAAACTCTGATCCATTTTGTGGATGCACTCGTATACGTTTGTATCGCTGACTGTCCAGATTACGAATCAGCTATCAGTACACTTGAAAAGTTGTACGTTCGTCCTAAGAATATAATTTATGCTCGCCATCTTCTACAAACTTGCAAACAAGACACCAGTCAAGATGTTGAT